GATGTGCTGAAATGAAGAAAAAGAGGGAATCGCTCAGAAAAGAGTTGTGTGAAAATGACACTTTGGAAAACCAAGGGACTAGTCACGCACGAACTCAAATATCCATTCCCTAATCTGAGCCTATGTTACAAGCCGATAAAGTCCTACAGTGATCCTATTCCGGGTGTTTGCAAGATAGAGCATAGAAAGCAAGAGCAAGCCTATGGTAGTTTGTTGATACTGTTAGAAATTCTTTGAGAGTGTGAGCGTAGTACTTAGTCCCAATTATCATGAGTGAGGAACTTCTTTGGTGTGAGGACACATTGATTGCATTTGAGAGTAGATTGTGTTAGCTGATAATTCACAGGCATAAGCATGATCGACTGTGAGTAATGAGATGTCATATATTGATCCTTGCATGTTAGATTCATGGTTTTGGATACAAATTGTGTTTGAGATGACTGATGCATAGGGTCAAAAGTGTTTGAATGACTAAAGGGCTGAATGTAATGTTTTCTCATCACTTGAGGACAAGTAATGGTTCTAAGTTGAGGGTGTTGATGTGCCGCAAAATCTTGGCACATTTGATTCTTGAAAACTAAGAAGCAAGACTAGAATTGACTGTATTTTTGTATGCTTTGATGTGTTTGTTGAATGTGCAGACAAATTCTTGCTTGTGTGTGAAAGATGGAAAAAGAAGCAAAAGATGATGAGGATCAAGTAAAGATCACGGCAAACCTCACGCACTGTGGTCATCATAACGGCCATTGGTTGTGCTCATGAAGATGAATTAGTGCATGGGTCTTGAGAAGATGGAGTGCATGAGCAGCCAAATGAAGACCACGGAAGGTTTCACAGGCTATGGTCACTATAACGGCCCGTGGTGGTGATCGTGAAGCTGATCCAGTACCTAGGCCTCGAGAAGCTTAAATGGGAAGTGACCAAGTGAAGACCACAAGCACCTTTACGGGTCGTGGTCACTATAAAGGCACGTGGTGGTGATCGTGAAGACGATCCAGTACCTAGGCCTCGAGAAGCTTAAATGGGAAGTGACCAAGTAAAGACCACAGGCACCTTTACGGATTGTGGTCAGTGCCACGACCCGTGGTGACATCTGTGATGCATGTTCCAGTGTCCAAGCATTGAAGACTAAATGATGAGGAGTGCCAAGGGAAGACCACGAAGGGCTTCACGGACCGTGAAGCCCTTGACGGGCCATAGAAGTGGGCGTGAAGGGCCCGACAGTTTAGTCCTACTTTGAGTAGGACTCTTTTTAAAATACTATTTTTGAATTAATTAGGTCATTTTTTATGTTTTATCTTATCTAACCTTGAACGACGAACAAGTTTCCATTATTCATAGCTTTTGGTTTTCGATTTTGGATATGGAATTAAGTTTGAAGTTCGGTTTTCCGGTTCTTGAAATATCAAAGTGGTGGTTGATTTGCTTATTCTCGTAAGTACTTTCTAACATGTTTTCATTCTATGTTTCTGAACATTTACGTGAAATTATGAGTAGCTAAACACCACAACTAGGGTTTTTGGGATCCATGACGTAATTCTAATCATAATTTCGTAAAACGAGTGAAAGGCGATTTATGTTTACACATTGTAATTTAACTTTCGTTATTCGTGTATTCTGATGAGTGCACGCATTAGAGTGAGCATGTATCTATCATTTGTTCGAGAGAAAATGATAGTTAGGAAAAAGTTAAATTAATCTGATGAAATGGAGTTAAGGTTTAAGTTCGAGAGAAAAGAATATACACACCATTGTAGGCGAGGGTAAATCATGTAACACTCTAGGACCGAGAGGACTTGAGTGAAGATTATCTGAGTAGACTGAGAAGTGTCAGATATAGCTAACTCGCATGTATTTTGTAGAGGTAAATTGCCTGAAACTCAATTACGAAAGAACATTAGACACAATGTTATGGGGAACACAATCCTAGTTTCAGTTAATTATTGAAACAACTTCGGAACTGATATTTTGTTAGTTGTTAAATTAGACTTTAGTTTGAAACTTTGGTTACCAAAGCGTTAACGCTAAACCCAATTTTACTTTCTCCAATTGTTTATTTAGGGAAACATAACGACATTAGAGTAAAACGTGACGGTAAAATCATTTATGTAAAGATATTCTTTGTGGGATCGACCTCAACTCACGTTGAGTTCTGTAAATTGAATTCGACCATTTATATCTCTTAATTGAGGTGTAAGTTTGGACGTATCAGGTACTACTACTAGTGGTCCCACCTATGTAGATTTGGTACCAAAGAGATGATTTGCGACATCTTTCATTTTCGATGCCACGGTGATCCTGTGTGCCTCAATCCATCTGTCAACTAGCTTATTTAGAGGTATATTGTCCTGCAGACACAGTTTCCCTATCATATAGGGAAATGGTAACCTGGCTCTCTCATTCAGTGCTTTATCCCGCATTTATGTGGCGATGATACAGCCTACATTGACCGGGTAACCAGCCATGAGGCAAGCAACGAGTGATGTGAGGGATGGTGACAAGGTATTATCATTTGTTGTAGGGGCAACTGTGCATGAACAACAACCCACCAAACCTTAGACGGAAATGAAAGTGATTCCTTAGTAATATGCATACGTGCCCCGGCTACCCATGCTGCATTCTCACCCTCTGAAGCAATCCAACCAGCAAGACCCGCTCCTTTGATGTCGGATCCTCCATCTCAACCTCACTTGTTACTTCATGGTTCTTCCCTTCAAAAATGCCAACTGAGGATGGTGTTGTGTATTTTGGACCATGTAGCATCCTGTTGATTGTAGTTTCAGAGATATCCACGGATTTTCCCCTAACCACTATGGAGTTAAGCAGTCCTCATGTACTCGCAAATGTTTTCTTCCCCCGTTTAGTTGTTTCAGTATCTGCAGCAAAGTTCATCAATGTGGTTGCATAGGATGCATAGAATTCTATGGTAAGGTGGCGGGAAAATTCTCTAGGTGAGTTGTTCATCCATTCAAAGTAATGCCTTTGGAAATTTCTATAGATATCTAGAAATTCCTGGATATCCGATGCTACTAATCTAGCCTCAGGTATGACTGGCCTCCTAGTAAAGCCACCCGACTTGGACACGATTCCATTCTTGAAGAAGTCCTCAAACCTGTTCACTATCCACATAGAACGTTCGCAGTCAATTAACGATTTTCTCACCACTGGATCAAATTCATGTAGGTGAACAAATTGGATCATCGCAATGTCAGTGTTGGCATCATCATCCTTTTCATGGGCATCTATTTCTTCCTACGCCCCCATTTCAGCATCTACTCCTACTTCAGGTGGAGGTGCAGCTACATTCTCCTGAGAGCCGCTAACAGACTCTTCACTACTACTCGAACCACTACCAGATTCTTCACCGCTTCCGAAACCACTGCCATATGCCTCACCACTCCTGGATCCACTACCTTTCTCTTTAGACCGGGAAGGAGTGTCCTGAAGAATGGCCCTCGTTGTTCGTGATCTAGTAGCTCGAAGGAAGTTCTCTTCAATTGTGGTATTGACCTGAACCTCCGATCTACTGGATTCTGCTGCATTATCACTATGAGTTGGTGTGGGAGGTGGTGAGGTATGTGGCAGTACAGTCTTTCTTCGTGGACCCATATTACCTGAGAAGAACAAAACAAAAAAAATGTATTGTTACTCGAACCCACTAAATTGACGCACTAACGGGTACTCAAACTTCCCCTATGTAAGTACAACGCGACGCCTTGCCTTAAGAATGTCGTCACCCAATCTATCATTGGGAAGGGCCACGTATTCAAAATGGAAACTAGTTTACTAAAAAGAAAAGACAAGAATTTTTATATATATATATACACGGAGGCCACCACGGTCCGTGATGTCCTTCGTGACCATGAAACAGTGTGTGGCAGTTCATTGGTGAAGCTATTACGGAGGCTATCACGGTCTGTGGTGAGGACCACGGTCCGTTAAGCCCCTCGTGATATACTTACAGTGCCTCAACAACACCCAAGTGTGGTTTACGATGGGTCTCATGGTTTGTGTTTCCTTGTACGGTCTGTGAAATCTCTCATGTACTTACCCTTGGGCATTGTTTTGACCTATTGCTACCCAATCAAACTTGATCGCTTCCAAAACATGGTTCCTAATAGTTTTAGCACATCAACACCTTTTTGGACACAAATCATAAATCTTAGGCACGCACATCAATGATGTTGCCTCAAAAGATACATATCCGATTATGCCCACATACAAATACTCCCACTCTTACACAATTTAGAATATTTTATCCCTTAAATCCACATGAGCACAATTCAAATTAATTCAGACTTAATTTCACATCCACATTATAATAAACAACAATCCCCACACAAATTTAACATACCCACAAATGAGACTTTCTGATATCAACTAAATTCAACATACCCATAACAATTTACTACCAACAACAATAATATATCACATAATAATCCTCAAATTCAAACAAACAAAGTAATTTTAACCTGCCTATCGATGAGATCAAACTTATAACAAGTTAATAGATGAACTTACTTCGAATTCGGTCAAAAAAAATTTACCCAAAAGAGAAAAGATGAACTTCACTTTGATTTCTTGAGAATAGAGCACTAGGGTTTCGAATTTGTGATTGAATTAGGGATTATGGTAGATGAGTCCGTTTAATATTGTTCTAGACCGTTACAAATGAGAAAGAAGAGATAAGACCCGACCTTTGGCACTTTAGAAGATTATATAATACCTTTCAAAGCTTTAAGTTTGCATGGGTCGGGTTAGGTCAACTGGGCACTGCTTGCTTAATCACAACAAACCGTGAAGAAGCTCATGAAGAGCACCATGGTCCGTGAGAATGCACATGAACAACACTTGGGCAAGAAAACTAACTTGAGGTTCACGAGAGGCTAAATGGCTCGTACAAAGTCTGAAGGACCGTAAACCCTTTCGTGATCCCATTGTTGCAGTTTCCAGTGGACCTTTTAGGGAAGTTGAGGGCCCTTGGCGGACCGTGATGATGCTCATGAAGAGCACCACGGTTTGTGGTAGAGCTCGTGACGTATTCCAACTCTCAGCTCTTCAGTTCTTTTGTCCAACTTCTTCCTGCAAACAGTGACACTATAAAACAATGAAACTATACTAAAATATAAACTACCTAATACATTTACAATCATGGGTTGACTCCCAAGAAGCGCACTATTTAACGTCGCGGCGCGATGCAGGTTACTTGATTACTCAGACTTCATCAAGTTTGCATTCCACCACTATTTTCACTTCCTCTGGGATTCCCATTTATGCCTTGATTCGTTGACCATTGGCCTTGAACCTCTCACCCTTGTCATTCTCAATCTCAATAGCACCAAACTAAAATACTTGAGTTACCTTAAACGGCCCAGACCATTTGGATCTCAATTTCCCAAGAAATAAACAAAGCCTGGAGTTGAAAAGTAGCACCAAGTCACCAAGACTGAATGTCCATTTCTTAATGTTCTTGTCATGATACTACTTCATCCTTTCCTTTTAGAGAGCATACCTCTCATAAGCCTTCAGACGAAATTCATCCATTTCATTTATCTTATCCAGTGTCAGGTTCGTTGTTTCACTCCAACTAAGATTCAACTTCTTTAGTGCCCAGAGTGTGTTATGCTCCAGCTCAACAAACAAATGACATGCCTTTCCAAACACCAAATGATATGGAGACATACCAATAGATGGCTTGAAAGCTATCTGATATGCCCATAAAGCATCATCCAACTTTCTAGCCCAATCTGTTCTGTTGACATTCATTGTCTTTGCCAAAATCACTTTGACCTCCCGATTCGATACCTCAACTTGCCCACTTGTTTGTGGATGATATGATGTTGCCACCTTATGTTGTTTTACCTCATATTTAGCTAAAAGTGAACTGAACACTTTATTACAAAAATGGGAGCCTCTATCACTGATAATCGCTCTAAGTGTACCAAACCTTGACAATATATTCTTCTTCAGAAAACCAACAACACTTTTACCATCATTTTTAGGCAGGGTGACTGCCTCAACCCATTTGGACACATAGTCCACTACCACCAGTATGTACTTTTTCCCATAGGAGCTTACAAATGGTCCCATGAAGTCAACTCCCCACACATCAAACAGTTCCACCTCCAAAATAGGTGTCATTGACAATTCATGCTGACAATAGATGGCTCCTTGCCTCTGGAAGATATCACACCCCTTGACTAGATCAATTGAGTTCTGATGGATTGTAGAGCAGTAGTACCCACTCTGAAGTACCTTGTGGGTTGGTCGGGCACCTCCACGATGACCACCTACTAGAGAGAAGTGACAGGCTTCTAAGATATGCAGCATCATAGCCTCAAGGATACATCACCTGATGATGTTATTAGCACACACCCTTTACAAATATGGTTCATCCCAAAAATATTTTCCCACATCATGTAGGAATTTCATCCTTTGCTGGAACTTTAGCCCTTCAGGCATCAAATTGCTCACAAAATAATTAGCAAAGTCAGCAAACCAAGGAATGAGATCAATAGTGGTGGCTAATACCTACTCATCTGGGAATGAGTAATTTATGTGTAACTCAAGTTCCACCTTATTCTCTGCCTTCAACCTAGACAGGTGATCAGCCACCTGGTTTTCACAACCCCTTTAGTCTTTGACTTCAAAGTCAAATTCTTGAAGCAGCAGAACCCATCTTATCAATATCGACTTGGCATCTTTCTTTGCTATTAGGTACCACAGTGTTGTATGATCAATCACTCCAGTGCCCAACAAATACGCCCTGAATTTCTCAAAATGCATAAACCACATCAAGTAGTTCCTACTCAGTGACAGTGTAGTTGCATTGTGCTCCATTCAGCGATTTGCTAGCATGGTAGATCTGGTGGAAGATCTTGTTGCGCTTCTGTCCTAACACAACTCCCAAAACAGTACCGCTTGCATCACACATCACCTCAAATGGTTCCGATCAATCTCGGCCAATGATCACTGGAGCAGAGACCAGCTTCTCTTTCAATCATTCAAAAGCTTTTAGGCATACGTCATCAAAAGCAAATTTCACCTCTTTCTCGAAAAGCCTGCCTAAGAGATGTGCAGATTTCGACAAATCCTTGATGAATCTCCTATAAAATCTTAAATGCCCTAAAAAGCTTCGAATACCTTTCACAGAAATAGGTGGAGGCAATTTTTCAATCACCTCTATCTTCGCTTTGTCTACCTCTAGTTCCTTTTGCGACACCTTATGGCCTACGACTGTGCCTTTCTTGACTATGAAATGGCATTTCTCCCAATTAAGCACCAAATTTGCCTTCTCGCATCGTTGTAATGCCCTACTAAGTTTCAACAAACAATCATCAAATGTGTCACCTACCACAGAGAAATCATCCATGAACACTTCCAAAGTGTCCTCCACAATGTCCGAGAAGATAGACATCATACACCTCTGGAAAGTTGTTGGTGCATTACATAATCCAAATGGCATGTGTTTGAACACAATAGTACCAGAAGGACATGAAAGGTAGTATTTTCTTGATCTTCTGATGCAATTGATATCTGGTTGTACCCGGAGTAACCATCTAAGAAATAGTACCACCCTTTTCCAGACAACCTGTAAAGCATCTGATCCATGAAAGACATTGGAAAGTGTTCCTTCAAGGTCCACTTGTTTAGCTTCATGTAATCCATGCAAACCCGCCAACCAGTGACTGGTCTTTGTAGAATCAACTCGTTGTTTGCATTGGCTACCACTGTCATACCACCCTTCTTGGGCACACACTGCATTGGACTAACCTAATGACTGTCAGAAATAGGGTACACCACCCATGCATCCCATCACTTTATGATTTCTTTTTTGACCACGTCTTGCATTGGTGGATTTAACCTCCTTGTGTGCTCTATGCTCGGGTTGCAATCCTCCTCAAGTTAGATCTTATGAGTATAGATACCCGTATGTATCCCAATGATATCAGCAATAGTCCATTCGATCGCCTTTTTGTACCTTGTCAAGACTTTGACAACAACTTGCACTTGTTCATCATTCAAATATGTAGCCAAAATGACTGGCAAAGTTTTATTAGTACCCAAAAAGGTATACCTTAGGAAACTGGGTAGCTGTTTCAACTCAAGTACAGGTTGTTCTTCAATGGATGGTTTTGCTGGAGGAGTCAGCCTGTTTTTCAGATCCAGGTCTAATTTCTTCGGATCATAAGAATGTGACCCCATGCCCTGCACAACATTCACCGTCTCCACATAGTCATTCTAGAAGTCTTCTTCAAAATTCAGTAGCACGGTTGCCAATGTTTCTATCACGACCCAGGGGTACCCGATAGATGTAACAAGGCGTAAAAGACCCCGGGAGGCCTCATACAAGCCACTTAGTATATCATAACATAAAGTAATAGAAATGAGCGGAAATTTAAAACATTTCAATACAATCAAAGTCTTTATAAAACAAAGCGGAAGTCTAATAAACTGTCTCAAACCATCTAAACATCATGAGTAAAGTCTTGGGACACAACCCATAGAATAGTCCAAGACATAAAATGAAAGAACATAAAAGAAAGTGGTGAGCACATCCTCGAATACAATGAGGACTCACCAAATCTTCACTTCCTTGATCAACAGAGAAGCTAGCCATGAGTGTGAGAATCTATGTCTCCGGACCCTACATTTGATAAGAATGTGGGCAAGAGTAAGCGTTAGTACAATCATGTACTAAATATGATAGCTAGCATAAACAACATAAACATAATGGTTAGTAAATACAAACCACAAGCATAATCAATGCACACAAATCATCATCATAATAAGTGAGGAATACTTCTCAAGCAACCTTACTCATCCTTAGTCAAGTCTTGGGTCATCTACCTCTAGTAGAGCCTACCTCATGGAAGGCATCCAAGCTATTCATTCTTTATATCATAGTTCTCTTTATTCATACTTAATTTTAAAGACATGGGGATTCACCTCTTTGCCTAACTTACAATTTGGACAAAAACGAAGAAAAAAAAATCAGACAGTTACGAAAAGAAGTAAAATTTTGATATTTTTTTCGTTTCGATAATTTGAGGTGTTTTTTGTTTTTTTTATGTATTTTTCTTAATTTTTATATTTTAAGGACATTTACGGAAAAAAATAAATCCGGGCAGTTACAAAATGTAGTAAAATTTTGATCTTTTTTTCGTTTCAATAGTCAAAAGTGATTGGTGCTAGTCGAAATTTTTTTGAGGTGTTTTTTATATTTATTTTAATGTATTTTTCTTGATTTTTATATTTTACGGACATTTACAAAGAATAAAAAAATTCGGACAGTTACGAAAAGAAGTAAAATTTTAATCATTTTTTTGTTTCGATATAGAAAAGTCAAAAAAAAATTGATGTGTTTTTTTGTATTTTTTATGTACTTTTCTTGAATTTTATATTTTACGGATATTTACGAAGAAAAATAAAAAAAAATTGAATAGTTACGAAAAGAAGTAAAATTTTGACCATTTTTTCGGTTCGATATTTTTAAGTCATTGGTGCAATTCAAAATAATTTGAGGTGTTTCTTAAATCTTTTATGTATTTTACTTATTTTTTATATTTTTGGGGCATTTATGCAGAAAAATAAAAAAAATTCAGACAGTTACGGAAAAAATAAAATTTTGATGTTCTTTTCGTTTCGATATTCTAAAGTCATTGTTGCAAGTAGAAACTTTTTTGAAGTGTTTTGTAACACCCCGGAAATTAGTAGGCTAAACTAGAGATTAACGTGAGGGTTAGAGTCATGAACGTAACTCCACGTACTTAAAATAAAAGGGTTTCGTGTTAGAATGGCAAGGTTCTACCCCTCAAGGACCAACCATAGGCCCTTGAGGAGGACCACTATAAAACTGCCTGGGAAGTGACCAACGGAGGGACCTACTCCCCGTTGTCATTCCACCCCCTGTGGATGAGGGTCCGTGGTTGGCCAAAAAGTTGCAGTCACAAAACCACGCTTGACCAGGACGGCCCGTGGTTCCATCCACGGCCCGTCAACATGGTCTCGTGGATGGTGACCTGGGGGCAGTTATGGGGGTTAAATTTAGGGGCACTTTGGGGTTTTCTGGATTTAATTAATATTAAGTGATGTTGTTTTAGCCTAATTTAGACCCCTAAATTAAGTGATTCCAAGTCATTACTTCAAGATCCTAAAAGAAACCCAATTCTCACATATATATCCTCTCTCTAGAAAGTGAAGAAGAAGAAGAGGAATCAAGCTAGGTTAAGTCAAGTCTACATTGTTTCAAGCTTGGTAGGCTTTGTAATCAAGGTATGATGGCTTTTTCATTCATGGATTCCTTTCATCCATGAAGCCCCCATGATTTCCCCAATTTAGAAGAAAGTCAAACTAGGGTTTATTCTAATGTTATGAGTTATGATCCAATATAGTGGATTGTGATTGTTTATTATTTTTTATGATTGTTTATGATGGAATTACATGTTTTTTGTATGATTATACATGTTTTATGCTTAACCTATGATTCTAGGGTGAATTTGATATAGTTGGGTTTTATGCCATGAAAGGGGAAATTGAGGATTTAGAGATGATCTTCTAGGATTGATGAACTACATGCAGAATTGCTTGAGATTAGAGCATATACACATGAATTTCTAAGAATAAAGTTTATAGATATGAATTGATTAAGATCAAGTATGCATGATGAATTATGATTTAGTAATGCTTGAGATTGAACCTATATGATGATATATGATTAAAATTGCTTAAAGCATGTGATTAGAATGTCTTGAGATCTAGGCATATGTGATGATTATGAGAAGTAATGCTTTGAGAGTAAAGCTTGTAATTATGAGTGTTAATTGTTAAGGGAGACTGAAGCTTATGTGTTTGATGAATGGTAGATAGGATGGTTGTGGAAGTATTTATCCACATGACCTATATTATGAGGGTATGCATGTTATTATGAAATCCATGTCTGATGTTTGAATTCTAGATGTGATCATTGAAAGTAAGTTATGAACCTTGCATGAGAAAAGTATGAGATTATACAAGTTTTCATGATTTTTATGTAAATGGTATGAGTACACTTTGAGAGTGAAGTTTCTATGATTATGAAGTAGTTGTTGAGTTGTTGAAAGGGTATTCTCATATACACACTTATGCATGAATATGGTATGATGTGAAAGGTTTCCTCACAGTATGAAGATTCTAATGTTGAAAGGTTTTCTCACCTATTGAATCTATATGTAGACATGGACGGTGAAAGGTTTTCTCACGCATGATCTAATGGGCTATCATATGAACTAACATGGATTGGTTGTCAAGGACATCCTTCCAGGAAACATGAATTAAGTAAGACTTAATAAGTA